ATTCCCAAGGTGGAAGAAATAGATAATAAGTTAAAAAATTCAGTGCTAAGTAAACCGATGAATTGACTTTCTAAAAAACAACTTTCTCAAACTGTTATCTAAAGGAAAAAGAACCCAAGAGACCTCAAAGGAGCATGAAGAGTGAAGAAAAGAATTAAAAGACCAAATTGCTGTATCAGAATTAGAGGGATTGTCTCTATTCTCTTGCTTTTTTTTATCAATCAACAACTTTTCTCAGCCGAGTGAGATTTTAATATGATAAAAATAATTTAAAATAGGCCCAAATGTATGGAATGGTAGACATGGATGTCTCAAAAACATCTGAGCGCAAGTTCGTGTGGGTTCGAGTCCCACTTTGGGTACCAAGTTTCTAACTATTTAATCAGGAATTCCTAAAAATAAATTAATGAAAAATAACCTTTTTTTAAATAAACTATTAATCAGATTGCAAGAATTAGCCCAAGAAAATCAAAAACTGAAAAAAATTCTTGTCGATAAGGACAGAATTGGTAATGAAAGTTCTTTGAATAATTGTCCGCGAAGCAAAAAACCGATCATGAATCTTTACCAAAAAACTAAATTAGACACTCAGGGTAATCGTTTGTGTGACAATTGTGAGGAAACTATCGGTTGTCGAATTCATGTGATAAAAATACATTTTTGTAGTGCTGAGTGTTTGGAAGAATTTTTTACACCTTAAGGGCATTATACCTACCAGAAACTTCTATTGTTTAAATTACGATTCAATATCCTAATAGTCTGTATATATAATATTATTAAAATAAATATATTGCTAAATAATTAGGCAATATTAAAAATATTTAAAAAATATGAAAATAATTAGCAATAGAATACTTGCCTATGGTCAGAAGAGAGAGAAATAGCCAATTAGAATAATCTAAAAATAAAGATGAATATAATTATAAATTGTAGCAATGAAGTTATATAATATTAAAACTGAACAAATAGAAATATTTAATGGAGTAGAAGAGGCTCCTCCTTATGTTTGTATTTCTTATACATGAAGTAGCTTTGATGAAGAATTTTTTAGTGATGTCTGAAAGATAGAGCCAGTTTTTTAGGAATATTAAGTTGCTACCGAAGAAGTAAATATGATATTAAAGAATT